GTGCCAACAGAGCTTCTCCTGGTCTGCAGAGAAGGCTCACTCCAAACCTTTTGGGGCAACTCGTCTGTCCTTAAGTGCTAATCCTTGTCCCTGGTCTCTTGCGGCAGGGGAATGGGATGAACGTGCCTTTCCTTATCTTTGCAAGTCACCTCTAAGTGTGTGGAGATAGAAATGCAGATGTGCACCTTCAGCAAGGTGGGCTGGTTGGTGTTCATGGTGGTATCTCTGGGGAAGTGCTGTTTGGTGTCTGGCCCACAACTTTGAAGCCGGAGTGGAAGTCAGCAGGAGCCTGCCTGGGCCGTAGCTCCTGGAAGAATGCACCTCCTGTGAGAGTACCAAGTGGGAGGAGAAGTTTATTTACTCACAGTTATCACTCACCCGGAAAATGAATAATCTCTAATGCTCATCCCACGCTGTCTGTTGTCCCTCCTGCCTCCGTGGTTTGGTGGCTGCCTCACGGCCAGCCGAGGTGAGCTCACCGCTGACTAGCTTGCTTGTCCAGCAACACCTGAGGATGGAAGCTGCATGAAGTGGGAGCTTATGTCGGCCTGGCTGGGGGGTCAGCTTGAGGTAACTGAGTCTTGGGGTGTGCGCCTCTTTCTGCTTGTTTTAAAATAGTGAGTCTGCAAACGTCAACATCATGGAAGAGCCGCTTCCACTGTCATAGTTCAAAGCATTTTCACAGTGTTTATAACTGCTAATGAACAAAGTTTTAGAGAAAACAGAACCCTGGCTTCCAAGATTTGCACATTTTGGGTTGCGAGATCCTCAAGCTTGTGTATTGTAAACAAAGTTTAAAAACTCCTCTGCGCAGTTGTGCTTTGGACTGTAGCAAGCTTTAGAAGAAAACGTCTAAATGTGCCTGGATTTATTTTATAAATTGGGACCATTTGAGCAGTCTGTGTGGCCTTCCATTCAGCTGTTTGTTTAAGCCAAGCCAAAAGCCACTTATCTAAAGATGATTTATTCTCACTCTTGAGCTGACAGAACCAGGCTGGGATAGGGTGAAAGCTGAAATGTAGGGTCTAGTCTGAGCCCCTGTCTTCAGTCAAAGCTATAAGGGAAGCATGAAGGACTGCCCATAACACAGTTCTGGAAGATACTTGCAGGTCTCTTGTACGTTGCTTGTAGGACACCTTTTTAAAATAAACAGCCGTGGTATGTGATTGACTCAGGTTTGAACTTTGCAGCTGTTCCTTCCTATCTTCCTGGTATGCCAGAGCAAAACCCCGCAGCTCAACATCTCTCAAATCAAAACCTTAATTCAATATTATAACTTGGATCAGCTTCTGACTTTCTGGTTTTGGCAGGGTAAGGAAAATGGAGGCAAGTGTGTTTCTTTATCTGGTTCAGAAAAATGGATGTTATTTATTTACTTAGCATATAGCAACATTGTGTAGTAAAAGCCAACAGCTGAATATTCTTAGCTAGATATGGGAAAGTATAACTTCAGGCAGAGTATCTGGCTGTCAAAATTGCATCTAAAGAGGAAGAAAGTTTTTATCCTAAGATGGTTTGTTTTGCACTCAAGAACTCAGTTCTGTCTTCTGTGGATACTGTGAGCATCTGGTGTTCTCACTGACATCTTTTCTCTGTGTTAGACTTCCCTTAATGGAGAGCTTGACCACGAACGTGGTTTTGGGAGCAGAGCAAATGAGGCCGAAGGTGTAGCTTTGACCCATCCAAGAGCTGTGCTGTCCAGCCGAGGAACGGTGGGTGGGATGGCGCTGCTGAGACCCTTACGCTGGGGAGGTGCCACGGTGTGCCGCTCACGCAGGTGCTCACCGAGCAGGGCCGTTTCCCCCGTGGGGCACCCACCTGCCCAGTGCGGACAGCCCCCTTCCGCACCTGTACGATTGCCTGCAGTAGTAAAAATAGGGGGAGGCCCAAATGACTTAACGGACGAGTGTAAACAAAGAAGTCTGCTTCCTCAACAAGAATTATTTTGATGAGTTAATACCAAAGGGGTTAAAGAACCTTTGTATATTTTGAATTTGGGCTGTCAAAGCAAATATTTTGACAGTCGGTCAGAAGTGGATATTGAGTGGCGTGCTGTGAAGAACATACGGTTCCGTCATGGAAAAAACTTGTCAAGGGCTAGGAAATGGAGAGGAGGAGTAAACAGCCAGTTTTCAGCCTCTCATGGGTGAGCTCCCACTCGGGGACATCAGTAGCACGAGAATAAATGTATGCAGGAGCTCTCCCGTGAATAATGGTGTGTTGCTCTGAAGATGCGTTTTGTACCAGAATAAAGTACTAATTATCCAGGAAAGGCTTAATTCTTGAGTGCCTCACTGGAAAGCATAGTATGTTGAACTGTAGCTGTGGTGACATGTATCAACTTTTAGGTGCTATGAGGTTTCGCTGTGTTGCAAAACAGGGAAGTATACATTCCAGTGAAGTCCTGAGATTTGACAAAACCTCCGTATCATTTTCAGACCAGGGTATTTGGCTCATGCAGTGGATTTTCTGCAGATGCTCTGTTATAAAATGTTACTGCAATTTATTGTTGCCCTTGCATTTCAGATTTAAAAGAACTCCATGGTTTGGTCTTTTCCTTCTGATTCTAATACATCATCCCACTTTTGTTATCAGTACCATGTTTTTATGGCTGCCAGTGTTCATCCAGATTTTCCACCTACTTAAGTAAATACGAACTTTGTTCTCATCTGCGTTCAATAAACAATATTTTATGATATTCAGCAGCTACAGAGTAAGCAGTAACAGCTATGATGGCTGTTTAACCCTTCTGTCCCTTGCACCTCAGTTAAAACTCGGGAATTACACAGACCAGAAGTTCACATGGTTTCAGTGCTTCCACAGAAATACAGATTTTAGGGCTTTTTGGAACTTCTCTTAAAAAATACAGAGATTTTCCATTAAATTCCCTTTAATCGTGCCCATGACATCAGAAGTATGTAGGCTTGTAGTGGACTTTTCCTACATTCCGGTTGTTATTTAAAGTGGAAATGCTGAGAGAATTAACTTTTTTTTTTTTGGCTGACACTTCAGGTCTCTGTTGTTAAAAAGGGTGTATTCGAGTCATCAGTATGTCAGGTTGCTTGAAAATGTTATGCTTTCCCCCAAACAACGGAAAATGAGCCGCACTGTTATCTCATGATGGCTAAAAGCACAGCTAAGTAAGTTTTGCCTTTTTTTAAGGCAATGCCGTTATGTGGAACTAGGGGAGACAAAATTCCGTTGCTGGCACAGCAGCTTAAGACGGTGTATCTGCCAGTACCGGAGGAGTCTGCAGATCTAGATGGGGAAGAAGAGTAATGCGGCTAAAAATCTTGAGGATGATTCACTACGACTAGTATAGGAGGGAGCAGGAATTGCTGGATGAAATGCTGAACGTGCTGGAGTTGTGGGGGTGTGTTTCACTTTGCATTCAGTGGGGCTAGGATTCAACCACTGGGCTCAAAACTCATACTAAATTAAATACCAACCCCATGAGTCTTTGACAAAGCTTTAAGAAAACAGAATCAAGACACGAACGGTGACGTCTGTTCTCCTGGCATCTGCCGACCCCTTTGTCTTTGGCAGCAGTGAGGTCCAGATCTGGTTCTCCACTCCAGATGAATGTTATTTTTGGTTTTTTGGTGAGGAAAATTTGGAAGTGCAGTGTTCTCATCACAGAGGGGGTAACGTGAGGGCATTTCCTGCCCCTCCTCCCCCCACTCCGCTTTCAAGCAACATGGTTTCATTCAAGTGCAGAGGCGTGTGCGATAGCCCGTTTGTTATTTTAAGGCCAATATTTGGATACGAGTTGGAAGTATAGTGACTAAGATAAGTGTAACTCTGGGAATGTCATCAGCTGCTATTGAAAGGCAGCATAAATGCTTGGGGAAAGCCCTGGGGGAACATTTTGCTGCCGTCCGAGCGTGTGGAGGGCTGTGGAAGGGGAGAGGTTGAGAGGAGTCGGGAAGCTCAAGGCTGACTGGCAGCCCCTCTGATGGGGCTCTGGGCAGCGGCTGGGCACTCTTCCGCAAATTCCTGTTTACGATGGTGTAAATCAGCTGTCGATGTTGGCATTTGCTCAAGATGAGGTATGTGACATACCTGTGGGGCAGATGGCTGTTCTGAAACGCTGGTCTAAAGCCGGATACAAAGCCCTGGGAACCACCGCTTCTGCAAAATCCAGGCTTCAAAGGGATGATGGGCTGCGTCGCCGTGTCATGGGGCCGGCTGTCCCCAGCTGCAGTCCTGTCCTCCTCCTCTCCAGGCTGGGGTTGGCTCAGCTGTAGCCAGACCCCAGAAGGTTGGCAGGAGGTTCTTTCAGTGCTCCTTGCACCTACGGCACGTGGAGATGTGTCCGGCTTCCTTCTCAGAGGCACACTGTGCTGCCTCCCCAAACGGAAGGCTGGAGTCGCACATCTGCCAAACTGCTTAAACGTGTACGAACACTTTGCTGGGCGACTGCCAGCAACCAGGGTAGTTTCGACGGGAGGAAGATGATGGGGGCGTGGTGGTAAGAGTGGGTGGGACTGGTTGGTGTTACTGAGACCTTTGCTTGCAAAGTGCTTGACAAACACTCGCAATGGGACGGGGCAGAGCAGATACTGTAAGTACAGCCAGGCAGCGGGGGAGATTAATCACTCTCCTGGGACCAATCCAGGAGGATAAACCCGGGAGGTTTCCAGAAGGCTCTGTTTGACAGGCCCTCGTTACAGCTTTTGCATGTTGATGTGGATCTGCTCGAGAACTTGGCTCATTGTGGGGGTGGAAGCGAAGACTTTTTTCTCACTGCTGATGTGTTGTCTCTTTTTTTTTTTTTTCTCTTGTAGGTATGTGATGTTAAACAGTGGGCAGTCCTTGCGGCCTCCCCCACCAGCCTGCAGCGTCATGTGCCAGTATGAATATTAAGAAAGAAAAGCATACTTCAGAGCTCAGCATCCCAGAAAGAAAAAAGGAGGAACTAGACGGAGAGAACAAATGACTGCACTGCTTGCAAAACTTAGGGCTGTTCAGTTTTTCTCCTGAGAAATTCCATCTTGGCCGTTGTGAGAGAGCTGAAAGAGCAAGCCGAGCAGCCACAGTGATTTTTTGAAAGTCCTTTTTTTCCTCCTTAATTTAATTTTTCTACCCTCGTGCCTGGATTTTGAAACTGTCAGCTGCACTGATCACAAGCACTGGACATCAATATGTGTCATGTCATTGTAACGTGTCGGTCGATGCTGTGGACTCTCCTGAGTATCGTGGTGGCTTTTGCAGAGCTCATTGCTTTCATGAGTGCAGACTGGCTGGTTGGCAAAGCGAAGCCTTCGAGCTCCGAGGATGTGGACAACAGAACGGGAGGGTCGCAGGAGCCTTACCATCCGACGTTGGGCATCTATGGGCGCTGCACCAGAATCTCCCACATGCAGCTTTCTAGACGAGACACGCTTTGTGGTCCTTATGCCGAAAACTTCAATGAGATTGCCAGCGGATTCTGGCAGGCAACCGCTATTTTCCTAGCTGTGGGAATCATGATTCTCTGTGCCGTCGCATTTGTGTCTGTCTTTACTATGTGCGTGCAGAGTATTATGAAGAAAAGCATTTTTAATGTCTGTGGGCTGCTACAAGGGATTGCAGGTATGTGTACTTTGAGAACAACTAAAGATTTAAATTTTGGGGTCATTCAGCTGAAGAAACATAGCGATTCTGTCCTGTCTCCAGACTGCCTTAAGCAGACCCAAAGTGGTTCTATATGGTGGTGTTTATTCAAACAGAACTGAAATTTATAGCTACACAGCATGTAATACATTGACATTGGCAGCAGAATTGCAGCCTGGTGTGTGCCAAAATGAACTGACCAGTATTGCTTTTGTTTGCTGTTCAGTTTTTTTCCCTGTTTGAATATCTTTTCGGTAACAAAAACTTCTCTCCTTTGTTACCAGCAGAGAGCAAAGTTAATACTCATGTTAAGGCAGTCTATCTCCCTCTCACTACTTCAGTAATTTTTCCAAGGACCAAAGGCAGCTCTCTCGGTCTCTCTGAGGCTTCATGACTGTGGTGAGAGCAAGCACCACTCCAGGGATGGGAGCAGCCTGCGGTTGCAGGTTCTCCACGGTTTCATGCTAAGCAGCCTCATTCAAGGCTGTGAGCTTGACGAGTGATACCTTACGATAAACCGTTCCTTTGGCCAGGTCATTGTCCACCTGAAGTTACACAGCCCATCTTTTCACTGTCCAAGTACCAGCTGTGCTTTGCTTGAAAAGATGAGTTGGTTCTAGAGATTTCTGCTTAGATCCATGGATTTTAGAGAGACACTGGGCAGCCCTAGTTGAGTAGAAGTATTTGGCTTTCTGTACTCGCCAGTGAGCTGTGGGAAGAACCTGTCCCATACACAGGTGTTTGCCTTTTTTTGCTTTGTGTGTGTGTGGTCTGCAGGAGGACAGTGGTCTTCTGCCCTACCCTCTGGCAGTCCTCAGAGCTGCAGGGAGGGAGGGAGGGAGCGCGGTTCTTTCCCTCTTGGTGGTGCTCTTAAGCAGATGTTTTCAATTCATACAGTGGTTTTGTTACAACAAAAATTAGGAGTTTTAACTTGTTTGTTTGAAATGCGAATCCAGCTTCTCCTCTCTTTACCTCCACTGAGGTGGGCAAACAACATCTGCAGTGGTTATACCTGGACAGGAGGCGCAGCAGTAAGTGTTCAAACCCTTATGGAGCTTGTTGGTCTCATGTGCTTAGTTAAGGCCTAAATTAATCTTATTCTACGCACATGGGGAAGTAGGCAAAGTCGGAATCCAGTGCCCACTGCAGCCCTCCGGAGCCAGCGGTATGCCTGGCTCCCGAAGCACTAGTGCGGTGGCTCTCACCTTCCCCCACTTCGTGCAACCTCGGTATAAAAGCGTACTGCTTATTTCACGTCACCCACAGTGTAAGGTTTGTGTTTCTGGGGCAGAATTAGATCTCTACGTTGGCTCAAAATGCTTCTGTTCAGATGTTGCCGTACAATTAGCAGATGAACGTCATTTAGATAAAAATTACAGCTTTTGCCGTAGTCACAGAATTTGCCAGAACTGTTGCGACAAGGAAGCAGCTCTGCCGTGCAGATTAAGCCAGGAGAAGGTTTTAGATCCTTGCTTTCTTTCTGTGTACTTCACAGATAATTAATGAAGCCTGTTTTTCAAGAGATGACATTACTTCTTTTCTGTTGGAAGGGTATTTGTGTGGGAGAGATTGGTTAGTAGCGTAAGTAGATGTGTGGCACATCAGACTTGGGTCTATTAAAACTCTGATACCATCTCAAAATATCTTGTCTTAATGTAAAGATTAGCAGGAAGTATGTTCTCATATCTTAGAATACTGTTCTGGACACCATGTATTTGTGAGACAATAGGTGCAAAGACAATTTTATTATGAAACCAGCTGTACCTGTAAAGGGACTCATGGCCTCAAGACTTGAACAATACAGCAGGCAAAGCGTTTATGTGTTAGGGGATAGATCAGCCCTTTTTTGCGCTGTACTGAGGTTAGAAGCACTTCCCTTCTTTATAATTCAGATAAATGACACAGCATGAAGCTGAGTAATAAAAAGGTCATGTTACTGAAACCATTGCTATGAGAAGTGCGCCCGCCAGTATTTGCAGCCAGGCGTCTTGTGGCTAGCAACTCGTTTTCTCGAGATTAATTTTATTGGGTCCACTGGTACTTTTGTGCCAGTAGCATTACAGCCTCTGCTTGCTTACTTGGAATTGTTTTCCTTATGACTTATCGCAGCTGTTAATTCCAACTTTCTCCGCCTCCTGAGTTTTGGCAAACGCTTAAGCAAGTTGTTCAAGAAGGACAGTTGTCAGCATGGGTAATCCACACAGGGATTATGATAGCTAGATCAATGCCCTGACTGGAGAACAAGATACAACCCCACCTTAATTGTCTTAAACGTAAGATCATCCTTTCAAATGTGAACAATTATGGATTTTACTAAGCGTAGGAGAACTCACAAAATCGGTTTGTTTATCAGCCTGTATCAGTCCAATATTTGCAAGTATGTCAAACATCTCATTTTCAAAGACGAGATGCACCCACGGCAGTCATCTACAGGAACTCAGGATCTTGCAGACTTAATCTCATTTAAAATCTCTATATCTTTGCAGTGGAGATCTGATATAATTAAAAACATACAGCAAGCTAATTTATTCCTGGAATTCATAATGAAAAAACAGTAACAGACACCGGATATATCTTTTCAGTCTAGCAACATTGGTTGTGACCTGGATGATGCCTGTGGTGAAATCACAGAACACAGAGACACATCTCTTCTGTTACAGGCCTTGGACAAATGTACAAACTCTCATTTAGGTCAGCGGGAGGAAGCTAGACACATGGTCCACCGAGGGTTATTTTTGTGGCAGAAAGATAAAAATACAAAGCTGTAAGGGAAGAAAATACGTCTCTTGCTTAAACTTCTGTAATTCCTTTGTTACAGAGCAAGGCTTTCTACCACTTATTTTCAGACTGCATTGCCTTGCATTCTGGAGCTGTAGGAACGGTAGTCAGTGGCCCTGGTTTTGGATTTGAGGATTGTTTCATCTGGAAAAGCATCTTTTCTCTGCAATAGAGAGTGCAAAGACTGGAACCATGTAATTAAATAGATAATTACTACCCAGGAAGAAGGCCACGCAGACTTTCATTTGAACGTCTTTTTAGGGAAAGTAGTCTATTTTTACAGTCTGTGAATCACTTGAAATGCAGAGGCTAAAAGAGCGAGCATGTTATTATATGGTACATGGTAAGAACCAATTCAAAGTAAATTTTCACAGAAATCATTTAGTTACAGGAAGCAAATAATTGGTATCCCCTACTGACATATCTTGGTATAGATATAGGATGGTTGCATGTAAGTTTACGAGCCTTATTTGGGTTTGGGTAGCGCACTTTGGTACTAAGTAAGAGAGTCCAAACGTAAGCTGGCCTTGAAGGAGGGTAGGGGGAAGATTGGGACACAGCCTAAACCAGCTTTGGCTTCCGTCTCTGACGCAGTTTCCTTTATGAAGGTTTGTCAACAACTTTTCTTGGCTTTTTTTTTTTTAACATCTAAGGGCACAGCTGGGCAGAGCTGGCCTCCGGCATCATGGCTGGGGCAGACACAGCCTCTTCTCCGCGGCCCGCGGCGGCCTGGCATGCAGGTGAGCCGCCACGCACCAGCGACGGCCTGACCCCTCGCCGGGAGG